ATCGCTTCAATATAGGTGGCTTATGGCTTTGAACCTTTCTTAGTTAAATACACTCTAATTTACTGAGCTAATTGGTGAACTTAATGTCTTGAACCAATCAGCCATTCATGTAAATCAAAACAACTATACTAATACCATAACTTATCTAGTCACTTAGGTTCTCAAGGTTGTGTTCATTTTAGTCCTGAACAACTCCTAATTTCATAAGTGCTTCAAGAGAATTAAGCCCCAAATGCTCGTAGAAACGGCAACACTTCACACTTACACATGTAATCTCCTATCTAAAAATATATATATATATATATATATATATATACATATATACACACACACACACACACACTATTTTGTGCTCTTGAATTGTCGATTGATTATCACAATGGATATTAATCACAGGTACTGATTTTTCCCAACATAGAATATTTTCGAGAAAATTACAAAGCCATTTCACTTCTTTGCTAGTTTTATCTAAAGCAATGAACTTAGATTCCATTGTAGATCGAGCTATACAAGTTTACTTAGGTGATATCCAAGACATTACTCCATCTCCAATGGTAAAATATAACCACTTGTCGACTTTGAATCTTGTGTGTCAGGTATACAATTTGCTTTGGGATATCTTTCTAGCACTGTAGGATATCTTGAGTAGTGTAAACCATAACCAATCATGTGTCTTAAGTATTTAAGTAATTGGGTCAATGCCTTCCAATGATCAATATTCAGGTTAATTGTGAATCTACTCAGCTTGCTGACTAAGCCCATGTTTGATCTTCATTTTTTTCAAGAATGCATTTTTTGAAAATTTATTTTCAACTACACATTCTTCTATAAAATAATTATACACGGATTTCAAAAAAAAATTCTTACTTTTAAGCACACATTCTCCAAAAAACTACTATTCCATAATGCATTTTATCCCAAAAATTTGAATCAAACAGGGGCTATATATGTTATATTCAGACACGTGCAATTGGTAATGTACATCAAACTATCTATAACGCATGAATATTCCAATTGAAATATAGGATAACCAGTATTTTTGGCAAAGTGTAAACTTAAATCTACTTGCGTCTTAACCGATTTATTGTCATATGCATTAAATTTCTTAAGTACAGACTTAATATAGTGTGATTGAGACAATGATGAACCATCAAGTGTCTTAGAGATCTTAATCCCTAATATCACGTCCGCAACTTCCATATCTTTCATTTCAAAATGTTTTATCAACATTTTCTTAGTTGAGGAAATAGTGTTTGAGTCATTTCTCAAGATTAGCATATCATCAACATACATGCATAACATCATGTATTCGTTAGGTATGTTTTTGATATAGATACACTTGTAACATTCATTAATTTGAAGCCATTTGATAACATAATTTTGTCAAATTTTTCTTGTCAAATTTTTCATTTTACTGGTTTAGTGTTTGTTTTAATACACATAACAAATTTTCAAGCTTATACATCTTCTCATTTTTCGGAGCAACAAACCCTTCAAGTTGTTCCATATATATTTCTTCTTCTAATTCACTATTTAGCAATGCAATTTTAACATCCATTTGATGTATTTCAGGATTATGCAATGCCGAATTTGCAATTAATATACGTATAGAGTGACAGGTGAATAGGTATCGAAGAAATCTAGTCTTTCCTTTGGCTATACCCCTTGGCTACTAATCTAACCTTATATTTGTTTATTGATCTTTTTTACCTTTATTTTTTTTAAGATCCACTTTTATCCTAAAGCTTTGTTTCCCGGAGAGAGTCCAACCAATTCCCAAGTATAGTTATTCATGATGGATTAAATTTCAATATTAACCGCTTCCTTCTAGAAAAGAGCTTCGAGAGAGGACATTATTTCGTCAAATGTCCTTGGATCATTTTCTAACAGACGTGTTACAAATTCTGGACCAAAGGCTTTATGAATCATTTGCCCTTTACTGTGCCTAGGTTCTTTATCTACTTGATGATTGTTATCTTTTTGGTGGTTTCTATTTGCAACATTATAAGCTCGTTTGTGTGAACTTATTTTTTTTTCCTTACACAGAAAGATATCTTCAAAAAAAGCAACATTCCTTGATTCAATGATAGTACCTTCATGTACATCAAGTATTTCCGATTTATGACCCAAAAATAGATATGCATTACTATTATTTGCATATCCGATAAAGATATAATTTATTGTCTTAGATCCAATCTTTACTTGTTTATGTCTAGGTATTTGTACCTTTACTAAACACCCCCTTACTTTTAAGATATTTGTAGGAAGGTTTCCAACATTTCCATAACTCATAAAGTGATTTAATCTTACTTTTCTGTGTTATTTTATTAAGGTATGATTTGTAGAAAGAATAGCTTCCCACCACAAGTTTAGAGGTGAGCTTGAACTAATCAATATTGCATTTATCATTTTCTTAATAATTCAATTTTTGCGTTCAGCGACATCATTGGATTGAGGTGAGCATGAATTGTAATTTGATGAATAATTCCAAATTCTGAACAAAGTTCTTCAAACGAAGCGACATATTCTTACCTCGATTACTGCGAATCATCTTTATTCGTTTTTCATGTTGATTTTCAATTTCAGTTTTATAGTGCTTAAATACTACTAAAGCTCCATCTTTGCTCTTCAACAAGTATACATAGCAGTATCTTGTAAAATCATTTATGAATGTGATGAAATATTTTTTACCACTTTTTGGTTGTACGAACTTTAAATCACATATATCTGTATTAATAAGTTCCAAAGGTGTTGTGTTTCATTCAACCAATTGAAACGGTGTTTTGGCTAACTTAGCCTTTACACAAATTTCTCATTCCATTATTAAAAAGTATTCTAGGTAATAAACTTAAATTCATTAACTTGAGTATAGAATTAAAGTTTACATGTCCTAATTTATGATTACATGAATTAGATGATTTAAGAATATAAGCAGAAGAAGATATTTAATTCCTTGAGTTATTCGGT